TATTGGTGTTTTAATCAATAACATGAACAAGACCCTCATACCGAAGACTGGTTTCATTACAGTCTCTGGAATCAAAACATCTGAAACGTATAATTTGAACATTAGAACATTTTAAAATCTCTTAATTCTGAATTATTCAGTGATCAGAACGTGAGGGTGAACCTGTTCTTGCAAGAAGCCAAGACACAGGTTTCAGGAGCTTGACCTGACACCATGATCTACACTCCCACAGCCTTGTGTGCATCCTGTTCTCAGGTTTAAATGCACTTTCTCATCATGTCCACTCTGGTTCATGTTTGACTGTTACCTCTGGAGAGGAGCACTGGATTGACTCTGAAGTCCCCTTGCAGTCTCTCTGTTAAAGCTCCTGTAGGTCATGTTTGTCTTTCCTGCCTGTAACACTCTGCTCTTGTCTATATCTCTACATTGACTGCAGCTCTTCTCCAGCTGCTGTCTTCCTGCACAGCTTCACTCTCACAGCTAACATGCTGGTTTCACCTCCTGAGCGTCTGTGATGACAGCTCTCTGCTCTCCAGGCCAGGCTGCTCTCACACACAGTCGCCCCCAGACTGCTCAGCCTGCAGCCCTGCTGTCCTGCTGGAGGATGTGTTTCTCTCTCAGGCTCCAGTATCACTGTCACTGCCCCTCACACACTCTCTCTTCTGGAGACCTGCGGCCCACAGCTCTCGCCCAGCAGACTCAGAGCTCTTTACTCTTGTACCTCAGGAGCTCTGCAGCTCTCAGCTCTTCCTCATTGTCCTGGTAGAAATGAGACGTGTGTAAATGTTGAAAAGGACGAAGTACAGGCTTGCTGGCTCACTGTACAGGCCTGATGAAGAACCAGCCCTGCTGTATCCCAGCTGAAGACAAACACTGGAAACATCCCCACAGCTGCCAGGATCTCTCTCTCTCTCTCCTGCTGGACTGTGTATCAAACACACACTCAGTCCTGGTGGGCTGGGGAGAGCTCTCTAGTGATAAGCATCACTGTTCCAAGGAGAAGCGCTTTTCCTTCTGTCTCCACGGCCTGAGAGAGCAAGCAGTCCTCTCGAGAGGGCAGACAGGCTGTTTATAGAGGAGCCCCCAGCTGGAGCTCATCAAACCATCAGTTCCCTACAGCTGTGCCTCCCTGAGTGACCACTGACTGACAGAGCATCACCCTTCCTTCACAGCTCTATTACACTGAGCTGCTCCTCTGGAGGAGGGAGAGCAGCAGCAGCACAGGGACAGGCTGCTGGAGAGGCTGTACTGACTGGAGAATAACGGCCCCAGAGCTGTTCAGCTGAAAGGAGCTGAGTTTGTAAAATACTGATTACAGTCAAGCTTACTGTGAGGCAAGGAGGCAGAAATCTTCATAACTGAGATTAATTCCAAGGAAGTTGATGACAGGAGAGGGACCATGTTTTATCTGCAGTGAATCGAAGCCCAGTGTGTTATAATGAAACTCAGAGGAAAGAAGCTCCTGTCAGAGAGGCCTGGGAACAGTGAACACTGACCAGAACACAGGAAGGACTTTGCTCAGCTCTCCTGGGCTGGAGGGAGTGAGGAGAGTGAAGGAGGAGATGGACAAGATGAAGGTCTTCACTTCGTCCAGACTGCTGCTGGAGGGAGAGGGAGCATCAAGGAACTGGGAGGAGCAGGGAGAGGAGTGATCATCCCGAGGGGAAGTCCTGGGCTTGAGGAGCTGGGAGAGCAGGGCTGGACGCAGGGATCTGAGACACTGCTGGCTGTGCTGAGGAGTCTGGGGCAAAGAGGGGATGAAGCTGGAGGGAGCTGGGAAATAGGGACAACCCCTGAGCTGTGCTGGACAGCAGGGGGCAGCAGAGAGAGACGATGTTGTGCGATACCTGTTTACTGTCCCAGAGGTAGGATGGAGGGAGCTGGGAAGAAACAGAGAGAGAAGAGGAAACAGAAAGAGGAGTATGGGCAGGGTGGTAGTTTACCAGAGAGCTTACCACACAGCAGCGGACTGGACTCCTGACTGGAACTGATTAATCAACAGACACAGAAGGAGACAGAGGACTTGTTTCCTGCTGAATGTCATTACCTTCTTTATAAATAGTCTGCTTGATAAAATTGTTTATTTTGCTCTATAAGATGCAGACTGACCTGTTTTTTTATTCTTATATGCTTTGTGAGAGTGGATAAGGAGCCTGAGAAACCAGACTGGGTGATGAAGCTTCATACAAGATACAGTACAATAGAGCTCATAGAAAACACTGAGGGGTCACTGAGCTGCTTCTCTTCACTCTGTCAGTATGAGTCTCCAGTTTGTCTCAGTGTGTGTCTGTGTAGAGGCTGAGACTCATGTCAGCTGTGTGCTCTTTCTCTTTCAGAGACGTTTCGGGTTGTTGGTCCAGCTGCTCCTGTGTTTGTTTTCCCTGGTGAAGACGCTGTCCTGCCCTGTTACCTCTCACCAGACATCAGCGCTGTGGACCTAGAGATCCGCTGGTTTAGAGATGGTTATGATAACTTTGTTTGTTTATATGAAGCTCAGGACTATAACATTATTAGACAGAATCCAGCCTACAGGAGAAGGGTTAATCTATTCCTGGGTGAGCTCCCCAGAGGCAATGTGTCTCTAATACTGAGAGACGTGAGACGCTCTGATCATGGACAGTACAGATGTATGGTGCTCTCTGGCCGGAGGTATGATGATGACACTGTTATTGACCTGGGTGTGAGAGGTGAGAGTCTTTCAGTCTGGTTTACTGTCTGAAGAGAGTTATATCTGTGAAGAGTCACTGATCACATCAATTCTCAGTAATAATAAATAATAACACATTGATAGAGTAAATACAGTTACTTTGTAGTGCTAATGTTCTGGATATGTTAGCTCCTAAACAGAATTTAGACTGGTTGTAACAGAAAAACATTCATATTTTCTATTTCCCTCATTCTAAACAGGCTTCACACTAAAAGATTACAGTATTACACATTTGAGATGTCACAGTCTAATTTCTCTTTCCTTGTCCTTATAAAGAGAAGATTTCAGGTGCTCTTAATTACTGAAATACAGTCCTCTCTTTCACCTTACCTGAGAGTTCAGCTTTATGATATCAAATTGGACAGAACTGAAACAAACAACTTTACCTTATTTTTAATTCAGATGAAAGTCTAATGGCTGGAGAACAACAGTTATTTCTCCTCACAAGCCAGAACCACACTACACACACATTAACACATTCAGTATCAATACAGCACTACATAACACAATACAACACTACACACACACCCAGTCTGCACAGGGAGAGACATTAGAGAGACTGAGGTACTGTACCTGTGTTGTGATGTCACCTCAGTCCACACAGTAACACACTCAGTGCCAATACAACACTACACAACAGAGCACAACACTACTGAACACATTACAGCACTGCACAACGCAATGCTATAAAACATATCCTGTATATAAAACATAACACAACACAGCACAACTCAACACAGCACAGAACAACACAACAAAGCACAACTCAATACAACCAAACACAGTACTGCATTAAACAGTTCTACACAATACAATAAAATTAGTTTTTTTTAACAAAACTACAAATTAACACTGCAGAATTCACTACAACACTACAAAACACAACAAAAGATTACACAGCTCAACACTCATCCAAGTGGATCATTTTCCACACTTATCTGTCTGTGATACTGATCCTGTCTCCTGTAAATACAGA